GGCCCCGTCCCTCACCCCGCATCCCTGCCCCCTGGTCAGTACAGGCCAGGGACATGCCCCACACGCTGCATCCCGGCCCCCTGATCAGTACAGGCCCGGGCCCCGCCCCTTGCCCCGCCCCCTGGTCAGTACGGCCCAGGCCCCACCCATTGCCCCGCATCCACGCCCCTTGGTCAGTACAGGCTCGGGCCCCAACCCTCGCCCCACATCCCTGTCCCCTGCCCCGCATCCCCGCCCCCTGGTCAGTACGGGCCCGGGCCCTGCATCCCTGCCCCCGGTCAGTATAGCCCGGGCCCTGCCCCTTGCCCCGCCCCCTGGTCAGTACGGGTCCTGGCCCCACCCCTTGCCCTGCATCCCAGCCCCCCGTCAGTATGGCCCAGGCCACGCCCCTCACCCCACATTCCCGTTCCATTGTCAGCAGGGCCCTGACCACGCCCCGTGCCCTTCATCCCTGCCCCCTGGACAGTATGGCCCGGGCCACCCCCTCAGCCCTGCCCCCTCATCAGTACAGCCCAGCCCACACCCCTCACCCTGCATCCCTGCCCCTCTGCCCGGTAGGTACAGACCCAGCCAGGACATGCCCCTCACCCTGTGTCCTTGCCCCCCCACTTTCAGGCAGTATGGCCCAGGACCTGCCCCTCGCCTCATATCCCCGCCCACCCATCCGGTCAGTACAGCCAAGGACATGCCCCTCACCCTGCGTCCCCGCCCCCTGGCCTGGCACATGCCCCGATGGGGCGGGGCCATCGGGTACCTTTTTCTTTTCCTTGATGTCATACAGGGCAAGGGTCCCGAAGATGGGCTCAATCTCGATCTCAAACCTGGTGCCGGAGAGATGGTGAGTTCGTCAGGGCTCTTCGGGGGGAGCAATAGCGCCCCCGCCAGCCACCGCCCCCAGCCCCACACCCCTCGGCACTCAGGGGCCAGCTCGGGGGGAATGGGGTCTAGTGGTTAGAGCGTGGGGGGCGAGGGGGAGACTGGGAGCCAGGATTCCTGGGTTCTATTCCTGGATCTGCCACTGACTCACTGGGCTGCCATGGCCAAGCCCTGCCCCCAGTGCCTCAGTTTCCCCTCTAACAGACATCACTGCCCCCACATGCCCCCCCGAGGTTCTAGGGATGAGTAGGGCTCAGCATGGATGTCCAAGGCTGAGCTGTTTGCCCTCACAGCCAGGCCACCCTCCTCCCATTCCCCGAGGGGAGAAGGGAGACAGGGGACACACACACACAACCCTGCTGGACTGGCCCAGCCCCCAGGGCAGTTCGCTTGGCTCTGGTAGGCGCCTCCCCACAGTGAGGATGGAAATGCTGCCTCTCCCCGGCCCCGTCGCTGCGATGATGGGGGGCGACTTACTTGAGAGAAAGACACTTCACCAGGATCCGCTGGCCGAAGTGCTCCCGGGGGACCTCGGGCAGGCTGCAGCGCTCCACCGCCTCGTCCTGCCGGCCGGGGGAGCAGCGGTGAGAGCGGCCCGAACCCAGCGCCCGCCCGGCGCCCCCCAGCCTGCCCCACGCGGCCACCCAGACCCTGCCTTTATACCCACTGCACGGGCAGGTCCTGCACAGGCACCGGGGCTCTATTCCCGGCTCTGCCACTGACCTCAGCTCTGTGCCTCAGTTTCCCCCCCCCCCGGTATGTTTAGACTGGGAGCTCTTGGGGCTGTGACGTTATTGACATGAACTGTGACCGTATAGATCATTGTTGTAACCACTGTTATATATTTGCAGCAAATATTGTACAAAGGTTGTTGTGTGAGGTGTCTATGAAGAGGTTCTGGTTTGCTGGTTATGATGATGCTGTGTGTATGTGTATGTCATTTGTACAGTTTATTGGCCATGTACTTGTATCTCAATGTGTTTGATTCTAAGTAGCCTCAGTGAAGCATTTGGTCGGCTTCTTGAGAAGGGGCTATTCTCAGTAAGTGCCCAATCAAGAAACACTTAACGGACGATGGACTTTGGGAGACGCCAATCCACATCTGAGCTTTCCTGGGAACCTTCAAACTAACATGGAAACAATGGCGTCGGCCTGTAAAGAACTGAGTCATGCACGGACATGTGACTTGCCCATGTGACTCCAGACTCCATCTTGCGGCTGTGATTTTCCACAGTAAGAATGGAAGGGTCCTTCCATGGGCAGAGGATATAAAAGGCCCTGAAAACTCCTGCATCTTGTCTTCGCTCCTGCTTCTGACCTCTGGAGGAACCTTGCTGCAAACTGAAGCTCTGAACAAAGGACTGATGACCCAGCCCAGCTGGGGATGTTCCAGAGACTTGATTTGAACCTGTGGTTTATTCCATCACTGCTACAAGCCTGAACCAGGAACTCTGCCATCACTGTGTGTCATTGATTCTATTTAACCAACTCTAGCTCTCATCCAGATCTTTTTCTTTTTATGAATAAACCTTTAGATTTTAGATTCTAAAGGATTGGCAACAGCGGGATTTGTGGGTAAGATCTGATTTGTATATTGACCTGGGTCTGGGGCTTGGTCCTTTGGGATCGGGAGAACCTTTTTCCTTTTACTGGGATATTGGTTTTCATAACCATTCGTCCCCATAACGAGTGGCACTGGTGGGGATACTGGGAAACTGGAGTGTCTGAGGGAATTGCTTGTGTGACTTGTGGTTAGCCAGTGGGGTGAGCCCGAAGTCCTCTCTGGCTGGCTGGTTTGGTGCCTTAGAAGTGGAGAAACCCAGCCTGGGGCGGTAACTGCCCGGCTATCAGCAATTTGTCCTGAATTGATACTCTCAGAAGTGTCCCACCAAAGGCAGCATCGTTACATCCCAGCTCTGCCACTCACTCAGCTCTGTGCCTCAGTTTCGTTTCCCCTCCCCTAGGAGCTCTTGGGGCAGGGCCCAGCCCAATGGTGGGCCCCGATCTCGCTTGGGGCATTGGGGTGCCACATTAACACACCTAGGAAAGGGGACCAGGCCCGTTCCCCGTGGCTCACACGGGCGCCCTGGGGGGGGGGGGGGGCCGCCCCCCCCGCCGGGGGCCGCGGGGGGGCCGGGGGGGGGGGGGGGGGGACGCTCACCTCGTCGGGGGCAGGGAAGAGGGCCAGGAGCTCCGGGTGCCGGTTCTCCTTGCGCAGCTCCTCGTTACACCGGTCGAGCTCCTCCATGGCCGTGTGCTCCAACAGGGCGGGCAGCAGCGGGTCGGCCACCGAGTTCTTCAGGTCGAAGACGCTGGACGCCCAGCTGCCCCGGGGCGTGTCGTCCAGGGAGGGCGAGCGGCGCTTCAGCTCCTCCTGGGGGGGTGTGGAGGGGTGAGGGGGGTGTCCTCCCACCACACCCCCGGTCCAGCGCCCCCAACGCGCCCCTCTACCCCAATGTCCCTCCAGCCCAGTCCCCCCTCCTGCAGAGCCAGATGATACCGCTGACCCAGCCACGGATCCCCCCAACTGGGGCCACGCTCTGCCCGGGGGCATCCTCCCTCGCCCCCCGGCCTCACCGGCTCCTCTGCGGCCTCGTCCAGCTCGAAGACCTGCCGGGGCAGCCCCCTTTGTCTCTGGCGCTGCCGCTCGGCCGTGTTGGGGCTGTACATGGTGCTGAGACGCTGGTACCTGCGGGCACGGGGAGCCTTGGTCACACCCCACTGGGGGGGGGGTACATCACGGGGGAGGGGGGACAGAACCAGCTGTGGGGCTCGTCTGTGCCGTATTGCCACCCGTGCCCTCTGACACGCCCGGATCAGCCCAGCCCAGGTAGAGAGGGGCGGGGCCCCGGCTCAGAGCACAGGAGTGGGCGCCAGGAACTAACCACCCTGCTCTGTGCCTCGGTTTCCCCATCTGTAAAACAGAGGGTGGCGCCCCCTCCTTCCAAGGATTCAGCTGCTGTGTAACCCGGGCTGATGGACAGACAGATGGGCAGAAGACAAACAGACCATTGTCCCCTGGCCAAGCCTCCGGTCACGCCCAGCTCCGGAACACGCGGCAGAGCCGGGCTGGGCTGACAGAGCCCCAGGCACCAGGAGGAGCAAGGTCCCTTTCTCCAAGGACTGAGCGAATCCGGAAGCCCACAGCGGGCGGCTGGCTCCGGTACAGCTCCGGGCAACCCAGCCATGCACCAGCGAGCTGGGCCCATCCCCCTGGCCTCCCGCCAAGCACGGAGCGGGCCAGCGATTTCAGCCTGCAGGAGAGGGGACGGGAGACATGCTCGAGGTTCGCCCTGTCCCCTCCGACCAGCCGCGGGGCGCTCCGCCAACTTACTTCCTCCGCACCACCAGCCAGTCCTCCGAGTAGACCTGCACCGCGTCCCGCACCCGGGCATCCAGCTTCCTGGCGGGAGGGAAGCACACAGGACTCGCCTCTGAATCAGCGGGTGGAGGGAAGAGGGCAGGGGACGCTCGGGCAGCGGGCACACAGCAACCCCGCGGCCTTCAGAACAGCCAGGACACCTGGGTTCCCTCTTCCTGGCTCTGCTGCTGGCCGGCTGGGTGACCTTGAGCAAGTCACTCTGCCGGCATTAAATTAACTAATTATAACTCTCTAATTAAGCCTCGTCACAGGCCCCAAGGAGCATTATCCCAGCCACGTGCCCAGGCCGGGGGAGGGGGACCTGCAGTGCCAAATGCCCCATCTCAAAGCGCCCCCTTGTGCAGCAGAGGACGGGGCTGTGCCAGGCACAGGGTGTGCATGGCAAGGGGGCGAGACAGAGAGAGGGCAGGGGGTGATCACGGGGCTGGGAGCCGAGAATTCATGAGCTCTGATGCCTCGAGTCCCCGCCCCCATCCAGTCTGTATAGTCCAGGCCACGCCCCTTATCCTGTGTCCTTGCC